AAAAAAAAAAATTATTTCTTTTTCTTTGTTTTTGGCCAGGGCTGGGTTTGAACCCGCCACCTCTGGCATATGGGGCTGGCACCCTACTCTTTTGAGCCACAGTGTAATATTTGTGTGACTCTAGAATTTACACCCCAGGGACTTGGTTATCTCGCTCACTACTGTATTCCATGGCTTAGAAAGAGCCCATAAGGTGGCGCCTGTGGCTCAGTGAGTAGGATGCTGTCCCCATATTGCGAGGGGCGAGTTCAAACCCAGCCCGGCCAAACTGCAACAAAAAAATAGCCAGGCATTGTGGCAGGCGCCTGTAGTCCCAGCTACTCAGGAGGCTGAGGCAAGAGAATTGCCTAAGCCCAAGAGCTAGAGGTTGCCGTGAGCTGGGACAGAACAGCACTCTACTGAGGGTCACAAAGTGAGACTCTGTCTCTTAAAAAAAAAAACAAAGAAAAGGCCCACATAGAGTTGAAAGACATGAATGGCATGCAAGTGGCTAGACTGGGGGCTCTGAGGATAAAATCAACCTTCTTAAATATGGCTGACAAGCTCCATGTCACTTCTTTGACTTTTCCCTAACGACATCTTCCTGTGACTCTCAGCTAGCCTCAACACACTGTGCGTTCTCTGGCCTCCAGGCCTCCGCAGAGACTGTTTCTCCTGCTTTAGTATCTTCCCTCTTCCCCTGCTTCTTACTCACCTTGCAGGTTTCAGTCAAGACACTTGTCTCTTCTAGAGAAAACTTTACTTCAGACAATGCTATACTGTTTGCATTTTTTTTTTCAGAACAAGTATTTTAAAACGATTTATATGACTGTAAAAATCACTGGCATATTACTTCCCTGTATGCCCCCTGCAAGTGCACTTTCTTGTTCAAGGTAATTTTTGCGGAGTGCCTTGCACTGGGTCTGGCTCTAACAGCCATCAGTATTGGTTGAAGTTGAATGAAGCAATGTCCTTTACTCAGCCAGCCTCAGTATGGGGATCTCTGCACACTTTCCAGAGAAGTGAAAGAATTCCAGTGAAGGAATTTTTCACTTCCATAAACAGTGAAGGATTATAATTTGGGGCTGCTTGATTGGGAAAGGAAGCTGGGGGAAGTTTGCTGTGCTCTAGCCCAAGGCTGTCCCTGGACTGCCAGGCAGGCAGGCCCTGGAGCAGATCCTGTGGGGGATGGGCAGGGAAACAGTTTCTTCCCGGGCTCCCTCCTGGAGTGGGGAGGTGGGAGGGGTAAGGAGAGGGAAGGTTCTTTCCAAGGAGGCTCCTCCACACAGTGCCTGCTTTGAGGAAGGGGGTGGGGAGTGTGGTGAATGCAGGCTTTCTCCCAGCCTCGGGCCTTCAGCCTTGAGAGAGGGAGGGAAATCACTGGCAGAGAAGAGGGATGGGAGGGAGGGAAAGGGGAGGGCCTAGTTGCTTTGGGAGACAGGAAGAAGAGGGGCTGAACTAGCAAGGGCTAACCAGGCCCCAACTCCAGATCAGCTCTGGAAATATCCTCAAACTACAGAGTCAGAGTATCAATAATCTGGCACTTTCAACTCTTAGGATCAGATCATCTTAACATCTTGAGCTGTAAAGTCCTTTCAGAGGGTTATGTCTGGGGCCTGCAGGGCACTCTACCCAGAATCCAGAGGCCTAGACTGTATCCTGCTTACAGACCCAACCTTCAGATCTCCAGGGGCTAGCTGGGAGGGGTGACTCTGGGAAGTTTCCTGGACCTTTTGACCTCCACCCACTTCTCTCTTCCTTATGGGAGAAGAGAGAGTCTTTTTTCTAAAACCCAAGAATACTTTGCATCCCACTCCTGGCACTTACAATAACTGGAAAGAGAGAGCGTCCCTCCCACTGGTTTGTAATCTACAAGGCAGAATCCGGGGCTCACTTGTTTTATACCTTTTGGAACTGTGGTCTCAAACCTGGCTATCAATCAGAATTGCTTGGGGATGATTACTTTGAATATTTCACTCACTTCAGTGACTCTGATTTCTTGGAGGTGAGTTACAGCTTAAAAACCTGTGTTTTAACACTATGCTAAGTGATTGTGATGAGTTGAGTTTTAAGTTAACAACTGCAGAGGGCCTGGCAATTCACAGCAGGTGCTAATTGTTGCCTTCAGGGGTAGGAAATTTGTAAGGCAAACACATAGTGTGTAGGGAAGAAGGACTGAAACTACAGTCGGTATACTGTACATTTAACTTTGAAAGGAAATAGAGCACCAGTGTTAGCAATACAAAAGATAAATATTTATTCAGAACAAAACACTCAGTTTTACGTTCTAAGCCACAAGGAAATAGCAAAAAATAACATATAGCAAAGGAAAGACAAAAACTAAAAAAGTAGTGTATTGTCTTTTCGACTTTAACTTGGTTAACAGTTGACCCATGACCTCTCGCTTGGCTTATTTCCCAAATACATTTCTGAGTTAACAGTTTACTCATAATTCCGGGTTAAAACCATTCTTCTCCTGAGAGTCAGGGGGTTGTAGATGAGTTCAGCTAGCTGCTTCTCTAGGGTTCCTAGCTATTGAAGGTAAGGTGCAAATGTAAACCTTTGGTAGGTTTCTTTACTTAGGGGCACCCTCATTTCTCACTGGTGGCAATCAATGGGGAAGGGTAAGGCCTCCAAAGGACCTAGCACACATTAATCCAGATGTGGTAGCCAGGGAGCAACAAAGTCGAAGTTTGTTCCTTGGTCCCTTCCTAAGTATTGAGAAGCCCCTGCTAAACCGTCTCTTTCTGCCCTCTCTCCCAGACGATCTCTCAGCATTCCCCTGGACTCATCATTCTGGAGAGATCAGACCTGGGCCCTCAAGTGTGGAGGAAATTTGTTGTGAAGTGTGAGAGGTAGTGGAATGAGCACCGGGCTTGGGGTCAGGGAACTCTGCTATAGGCTAGCTCTGGCACCAGACAGCTATGTGAATTTTGACCCAGTCATTTAACCTCTCTGGGCTTGTTTCATCTGCTGGAAAACCAAGGAATTGGTCCAACTCTCAGGTTCTTTCCAGCAAGAATCCTTGATTCCATGATTCTATGAAAAATGGGTTCTGAGCCACCAAAACAGCTGTCACAAAGTCCATGCATTTTTATGCCACAAGACAGGCCCTTGGCCACCATTCAGAGCTTATTGATTCAGATTATATACACTTCAAACAACACTGGTTTCACAAATTCTCAGACCACATAGATTAAAAGCAGCAAATTAAAAGGGGGAGGGGAAGAGCTGCAAAGGTAGACACTCTGACATAAGCCACAGTCCACAATGTTTTCCATTCAACAAACACTGATTATAGAGTGTCTACCACGTGTTGAGCCCCCTACCTAGTACGGAGGCATACAGATGAGTATGGCAGCCCAAAGGATGAAAGTCCAGGGAGAAAACAAGGTGTAAAAATAAAAAGTACAATAAAACAAAGACAAAAAACCCCAAAAATACAAAAACGAAAATAAAATTTAAAAAAGGGAGGGGTGATACATCTGCACGCTACAGTTCACGGTAGTTGTTACTGATGACAGAGTCACCAATTCAGATCAGGCTTAAATGGAGTAAACTTGGTTCAAAAAGGCATAGAGAGATGTCTCTTGTAGCTTTAAAAAAGGTCTCCTTCAAAAACGATAAAAAACGGTTTAAAAAAAAGTTTTGGCACTTAAGAGGGGTAAGCTGGCTGTGAGTTCACCTTGGCAGTCAGGCAGGTATTCAGTGCCCGGCCACGCCGGTTAGTTGAGCTGCCACGGAATTGTGAACTGCTTTGGGACACTGGGCAAAAGCGTGTCCTCGCTTGCCACAGAGGTTGCACACGATGCCCTTCCGGCAGAAAGGGCTCAGGTGCCCCTCCTCCCCGCACCTGAAGCACCGGTCCTGCGTGCAGCTGCCGCTCATGTGGGTCCGGGAACCACATTTAAAGCACGTCTTAGGCTGCCCCTTGTACCAGCTATAGCCCCTCTCCGCCCCCAGGAAGAAAGCCCCCGGCAGATGCCTGACCCCGCCTTCCCCCTGGCGCAGCTCGATCTCGCACTTGTATTCCCCGGTCCAGATCCCAAACCTGTCGGTCACTTTCACGGGTACAGCGAGCACGTCACAATGGCGCTTGAGCCAGGTCACAATGTCCTCCACATCCACCGTCTCGTTCCGGAAGAGGATAAAGAGCGTCTTCAAGCTGGACTTGCTCCGCCCCAGCACCACAAAGTTCTCCCAGCAGTCCTCGTGCTCTCGCTTCTCCTCGTAGATGCGAAGGAACAGGGCCAACTTCTCCGCCGAACGGAAGCTCACGTCGAACTCGCGGCTGCCCGGGATCTGGATGACAGCATAGATGTCGCTCGGGTCCATGCCGATGGAGCGCAGGATCAGCGCACCTACCACAAAGTCCCGGGTCGGGCAGGCGCCCTCGTCTCCTTGGAAACAGATGCGGACGAGGAAGCGACCCTTGCCTGGACTGGCCGCTGGGCTCGCCGCCGCCGCCGGCTCCTCTTGGAGGGGCAGCTCAGCCCCGTCCTCGGCCTCGCCGGGCTTGAACGGGGCCGTCATGGCCGCAGCTGCCTCCGCCTTCTTCCTCCTGCCCGCCTCGGCAGCCCCCTTCTTCTTGCGGGGATCCGTCGCTTCGCCGGCCGGGTCCCTCCGGCGGGCTTTCGGGTCCCCGCGGCCAGCCGGGGGAAAGTCGCCGAGGTCCGGCGCAGCCAGGCCCGCTGGAGCACCGAGCCCGGCGCCCGCGCAGCTGCCGCTTTCCTCCTCCCGCCGCTGCTGCTGCCGTAGCTCGCGGAACTCGCCTTTTTTTTCTGCAAGATTCTTCACCACCTGGGCCCAGCCCATTTTTTCGCGGCCGCCTTCGGCCTCTTCGGCCCGGGCGGGTGGCCGCGTGGGGGGCAGAAGCCGCAGCCGCCCCCGCTTCCTCTCTTCCTCCGCGCCGCCGCCGGTGGCCATTTTACCTCCTTCCCAGCATCCTCCACTCGCTCCCGCAGCCTAAGGGCCCCCATCGCGCGCGCCCGCCCGCCCGTCCGGCCTGTGGGGGGTTCGGGCTTTTTTTGAAATTCGACCCTTCCCTCCCCCGCCTCCCCCGAGATATTTACATGCGGCGCATATTGGCCCGCGCCGTCCCAGAGCCCCCTGGTAACCGCCGAGCCTGTTTTCCGCGGGCGCTCGCTCCGGCTCCACCTCCGCTGCCCGCCGAGGGCTGCGGCGCTCCCAGGCGTCCCTTTCCCCGGCGCGGTTTGGCAGCCTCCGGCCTCGCTCTCGAGGATTTGGCGTTTCGCAAGCGGCGGTCGATGATTTCATCCCGGCAACTTTACCAACGGCCCGCGGCCCAAAGGCGGGGCAGAGTTGGGGAAGCTCTGCCCATTTTGTTTTCTTTGTACCTTTTCTATTAAACAAAAATAAAACTTAGCCCTCCCTGCCTCCAAAGCGTACCACAACGCGTTATTTTTTTTCCCAACGTTGGATTATGAATATTTTAAAACGAAAGTTGCAAGAATTTGACCGTGAACATTTTACCATTAACTTTTTATTGTTAAAATTTTACTATAGCACACTACACCTTTATCCGTTCTTCAGTCCTTTTGGATGCGTTTCCAAATAAACCATATTGCATTTCCAAATAAATCATACTGCATTTTTAAAAAAAAGACCTCCATCGTTCTCGTGACAAAGATTATAATACATTGGGTGTTAAGTGTCTGGTACTTTGCTAAGTATACTGCAGACTTTATCATATGGGAATATTGCAAAAAACGATGGTGTAAATATATTCATTTTACAAATAAGGAGACGAGCGGGTTTCGAGACAGTTAAATCACTTGTGGAGCTTGTATGTAGCTTGATAAGGTGACCAGATTTTAACATTGGTAAAGCGGGACACCATTGACGCGGTGGGGGTGTGTCTTAATTAAAAATTTGGTCTACATGGAGCAACAAAAATTTTCATAGAACGCAAAAATAGTATTGTAATATATATATTTTAATTTCAACATAAGTAGAATTTACAAATATAATACATTAAACATTATGTATAGTGTTATTTTATTTTTTGGCATATTTCTCATTTGAGTAATTTTTTTTAGTAGATTGCTGTCGTTTAAAAAGTCATGAAATTTTTCACAAGAATTTGTTAAATTATATTTCACACATAAAATGATTTTCAAAGTCTCAACACTTAATTGTGATTTTTCTGATGTCCACACTTTATTTACCGTAGAAAAAATGCATTCAGTTGCAGCATGTAGCTCCTGGTAAGGACAGCACAAATCCTACTATTTTTAGTGCATTATTGTATGGAACATGGTTTGTTTCAAAATGATGAATTATTTCTAACCATTTGTTCTCTATTGTGATTTTTGCTGATGCCCAAGATTTAACCTTTTCCTTATCAATATATATTTTTGAATAATGATACCTTGTAAGTCGTAAGTGTCACAAGGCTGGCGCTACACTTTTTACCGCCACTATAAAATATAAATAATATGAGTACTGTCTGCTAAATTCATGAAATAAATAAATTACTTACCTAAATTATCTGAATAGCTGATTTGTTGACATCACTTGTTTAGCACTAGCACATAGTATGATGTGTATCATCTGAGAGACAGTTACAAAATGTTTTCGTCATTGCCAATGCCAAAAAATGCCATTGTTCATTAAGTCCAAAC